AAAATAAGCCCGAGTATCTACTTTTTCCTGTACTATATTAAAAACTAAAATTTATTTGTTTGTAAGCTTAAAATAGATCCTTATTAACCATATATTATTAAAAGTGCATTAATAAATAAATTCAGAACCGGGAATAGTAATTTATGGTTTAGCCTAGTGACAAGTAGATTCGGGGACAAGTAAATTCGACTTACGTCGCCTCTCCTGGAACCAATTACCGACGTAAGGCGAGGTATACCTGTACAGTGCTATGACGAATTGCCATCTTTTGCTTATTAGGCTTCAAGCAGATCATTGTGTTAATTGAGGTAGCGTTAAGTGAGGTCTTACTGTATTTAACTCATAAGCTCTAAAAACGTTTTCTGTTCATGTACTGTACCTAAAGACTAAATTGTTTTTACCCCTCAGGCTACAAGGGAAACTTATATAGAAAAATCTGTCAAACAATTTTTCCATCAGCTGATTTCATTTTGAACAAATAAAGCCAATTTTGTGTTTTATGAGTTAAAGAATATAGTTTTTTAATTATTAAAAAAGAAACATTTTCAAGTTGCACAAATAATTTTGATATATTATTATATAAAGTTTCTTGTGCAAGAATCAAGCATTTGAATGTAATCTATTGAATTATTTTTAAGTATATAGGAAATTAACATGATATTTTTAGACTTTTTCCTGTGTTTTACTTTGAATGAAAACTCATCATTCTACAGATAAGAAAAACAAAGGATTATTGAATATAAAAATTGACATATTTTTGTAATGAAAATATTCTTTTGAAGTGTTTATAGATGCACCCTAAGATTGACAAGCTGATAAATAATCAAACCAAATACAAATAGTTGTTTATTTCATATGAAATAGGCTGTCATTGGCTTGCTTATTTAACTGCTTATTAGTTAGACATATCCTCAAGTTTAATCTCTGCTTAATTAAAACTGATAAGGCAGATTTTCTGTTTAGTTTGGATGTTTAATTTTTAAATGTATTATTGTTTATTGGAGAATTTAATATCATAAATAACACAAAACAACAATGCCCCTAGTATTTTTGAGCTCTTCTGCTCATCTTCAAAGGTATACACATAGAATGCTTCAAATTCAACAATTTGGATTTCAAAATTTTTGAAACTAGCAGACCCCGCCATGCGTTGTTGTGGCTCAAAATGTATCTATTATAAATTTATAACACTTCCCCTCGTGGGGGGAATTTTTCAAATAATTTTTTCTTAGTGTACATTCTCTTGACGTACCCTATTAAAACGCAATCAAAAACGCAAAAACCCGCATCTAAAATAGTATAAATAGAAGCAGAGTTATTTACGGTAAGCCTTAATCCCATCTATGGTAAGCACTTTATCTCCTGGGAGGGATTTCGACATGTATATTATATGAAAACACGTGCGTATTCGAATGCAGCGTTGTGTAAAAATTTCAAAGGAATCGGTAGGAACAAACGAACATTACATTTTTATTTATATAAATAAATAGAAGATGATTTGCTTTAGTTCATTTTCACAGAAAAGCATAATGCCTCACAGAAAAGCAAACTTAGGGCATCGTACTCATAGCGCCATCTGTTGGACATAAAAGCCTTAACCCTAGATGATATCATTTAATTTATATGAATGTTTAACAGAATAATATGCAGCCTATGTCCACCCTGAAGTTTCATTCTAAATATTGGTGAAAGAATTTTTGNATATGAAAACACGTGCGTATTCGAATGCAGCGTTGTGTAAAAATTTCAAAGGAATCGGTAGGAACAAACGAACATTACATTTTTATTTATATAAATAAATAGAAGATGATTTGCTTTTCTGTGAGGCATTATGCTTTTCTGTGAAAATGAACTAAAGCAAATCATCTTCTATTTATTTATATAAATAAATAGAAAAAAAAATTAATAATAATTTTTATTCAATAAAATATTCGATAGTAAAACACATAGATTAAATTTTAATCTATAAGAAATCTATAGAATACTATGACAATATTAGGTAAAATTACATAATTTTTTCGTCCATAAAATTTTTGATGAATTGCGTATTGTGAGCGTTGATGTCTCTCAATTAAACAGTGTGTTAGACCAGGATAACCATGCTTGGCTGCTATTCTCTTAACATATTTTAATTCGGTGGAAAGGGCTTGCGTGGTGGACAAATGGGAAAATGCCCTTCTAACGAGAGTATTAAATGCTGCAGCCTTGTAGGTGAAGGGGCCCATAGGTATGTACATAGGAACCCATCGGTATGTACTTAGAGGTGACATAATCCTAAGACCCCCCTTCACCTACAAGGCTGCAGCATTTAATACTCTCGTTAGAAGGGCATTTTCCCATTCGTCCACCACGCAAGCCCTTTCCACCGAATAAAAATATGTTAAGAGGATAGCAGCCAGGCACAGTTATCCTGGTCTAACACACTGTCTAATTGAGCGACATCAACGCTCACAATATGCACCCGCTACAAGTGCAAAGACCAGCACCAACCCAGAAGATCATTTACGCCTCCCAGTCACCTTTAACCCATATGCTAAAGCAATATATGCCGAGATTGCTAGAAAACATCAGTTACAAATAGCTTATAGAAGATGCCCCATAATCTTTGAGATTTTCAGAAATGGAAAGGATTATCTGGTTCGTAGCAGACTTTCCGGTGTGTACTCCATACCACTCAAGTATAACAGATGCGACGCGAGCATCATATACAGCGGCTCAACCAAGCGCTCTTTGGCTACCAGAATAAATGAACATCAAGCAGACCTTTGACACAGGCAATACACCATGGCCCTGGTCACCTTTGCGTCTGATCCTGATATCGAACTGGAATTCGACAAAGCTGATGTCATCAACTCTGCACCCCACCTAGTGCATCTAAAATGGCTAGAAGCCATATACATCTACAAGGCTAGCTGCATGACCACATGTATTAATCGAAAAGATGAGCTTAATCTTTCTCTAGCGTGGCAGGCCCTTATAAACAGCAATCTTTAAATATCAACTTCCGCACACCGATGTGCATGTCTATCTCAGCGAGTTCCGTTATGTGAGTATTTGGGTTTTTGTTTGAATATTCGCGTTCCAACGGAATTTCTTTACCTGAAGAAGAACTATCTCTAAAGTTCAAAAAATCTCCCTTCACAAAAACGTTTGTGAAAGGGAGATTTTTTTCACACAAATTACACCGGTAACAGGCTCTGAATTTAGTATTTCTTTAACATCATTTCATGTTTAAATAAGGCTACATTATCTTAATTTGATCCTTGAATTTGAGCATTCCATTTTTTTTATAAGTTCAACTACTTCAGTTGAAACTAATTTTTAAGTAGTCATAACAAGGTTTCTCATTTCCCAGAATTTTGCTTATCCTGGGATTATTCAAGTATGTCATATTTATTTTATCCTGGGATTTTGAGAAAAAATGATTTATGTCCCAGGATCCTGGAAAATAATTAATTTGGAGGTAATGGATGGCCGCCGTCAGTTAGGCAAAACCCGGCCGTCTTTCTCCATCCATTTCGATCTCCACAAAGACTGTCTTTATCAGAAGGCGGTAAATGTGAATTAGTTAAGTCCACAACCATGTTTTAAACTAAAACAATATATATTCACAACAATCTTACGAGTACACTTGAGAGAGAGCTACATGTGCTCGTGGCAGCGATCACCCGACAAGAAGAAGCAACAATACCCAGAATCTCCTGTGGGAAAACTCTCGTCCCCGTTTTTCAGTCCGGGATTCTCGGGGAACTCCTAGAGGAGTGGTGCCATCTCACGACTCTGTGATGGTCGCCGCAAATTATATTTGAAAAATATTATAACAATTTATTCTGGAAAGGAATGATGTAATTATTTTTCATTTTTTTAAGTAATTTAATACATGAGAAAATTAATTACACTTCAAACTAAATAATGATGTAATGTTACGATGTAACATACTGTCTTATGAAGTTAAAAACTTTTGATTCAAAGTTGCAAGTACTTTTGATAGCATACAACTATCCTTATCAGGCTAATTTGATTCAGCCTGATGAGGATACTTGAACAAGATATCTTATTTGATGTAAAAAAAGGCACTCTGGCCTGATGAAGTGTCCTTCATTAAAGTAGTTGAAAATATTTGTGTATTCATTAAGTTTTGTGCGCTAGACTAAGTGTAAGAGATGTGAAGTATTTTTATACAAAAATATATCTTAGTAAGTGTGATAACTAGGAGTTTATGTAAAGAAGCTTCTTTTTTTACAATGAACTTTCATGCTAATACAGGAAATCCTTTTTAGATCAAAATTTAGGGGACAAAATATTTGTGACTTTGAATTATCAAATTTCAAATTATCTAAGATTTATAAATTTCTGTACAATGTGCCAAATGCCAGGTAAATGATGTAATTTATTAAGCAAATGGAATGTGACTACTCATACAGAATACTATTTTCTATTTTTGTTAAATAATAATAATAATAATAATAATAATAACAGTTACTCATAGATTCAGTCATTCTACGGCAAGCACACAAACAACACAGAANGGAATTCTAATTCAAATGTATTCTAAACCTGAAGATGGCCTGTGAATCAGGCTGAAAACGTTAGTTTGTTCAAATAAATTATATTTCTCGGCAAGAATAAGGTGTTAAGTATTTGCATATTATAGCTGACACAAAGTGTACAGCATTTGGATTACATATAACCTATCACATTTTGTGAAAATACAGAAATATCTAGTGACCTGGCATCACTCTGGTCAAGTAGATGCCAGATTAACAAACTTCTATTATACAACTATTATGTATGCTAATCCAATTTAATATAATCTCAAAGGTTTCCAACTCGCAATTAGATATAATAACAGGTATTGCATGTTGAGTGAGTGTTTGGATTCTAAAATGGAATTTGAACTCATTTTAAGACCCAAACGGAAAACATTTGACTTGATGTTGACTTTTCGACATTATCCAATCAATAAGAGTTATGAAGTGGTAACACACTTATTATTTCAGGTGACATTGGAAATTATTATTATGGACAAGGACATCCAATGAAGCCTCACCGGATCCGTATGACTCACAACTTGATATTAAATTATGGACTATACAGAAAAATGGAAATATATGTAAGTTCCATTTACAGAGATTTAAATGAGTCTTTTGGTAATTAATAAAATAAAAATATATTATTTATTTATTATGATACAAACAATTTATTGATTGTTGTAGTTATTCTTCCCATTTTAAATTTATTTTTAAAATTTCAAAATAATTTGAAGTTACTTTGAATTCTTTATCCAAAATTATTAGATTTATTTGTAATTTTTTTATATCAGTTGTATTTATGGCAATTTAATGGTATTATGATTGGCTTTATGCTTAACTTCATACAAATAAGAGTGTGTTCTTATGTATAAAAATCATTTGTATTTCTGTTTCTGAAACATAGGTCCTGCTTATTTCACTTATAAGAGCATTATATTGCTGTGTCAATGATCAGGTTACATGATTTTATTTGTATGTAAAGGAAAAGGAACTGATTGGCTTGTAGGTAAGTTTTTATTAGGATGTCTACTACGAGTGATCTTGTGAAACACAATCCGGCCTACAGCATGTGATGCAAACATGCTTGTAAAAATAAATATAAGTATTAAATACTAAGCATCTACATGAAGGATTAGAAATAATCCTGGCCTAACAGAAAAGAAAAATTCATTATGAAAGAATAAAAGTTTAAAAATTTACATAATAAAATAGAGAGTCAAAGTATACAAAATCATGATGGCATCATTAATGTGATTTATTTAGCAGTAACACATTGGCACTTAACGTGTTAATTAATATTCTTATAATTGATGGAATGGCCTTGTTGCACATATTTGTAAATGTATGAGCCGCTGCAAACTAGCGCTTTGCAAGAGCAAAACACTAGCAAATGTGCGCTAGCACAACCTATGACGTCAAAGGCTCCGCCCCTTTTCCCTTACCTGAGTGGTTTTTCCTTTGCTAGCGCAGTGATATGAGAGTACACTCGCTGTTCACAGAATTCAACAACTAGAGCAGTTACGCTAGCAAGAGAGGACGGGGAAATGGATGATTACATGAACATGTCACATGTCAAAAAAGAAATAATAGAATTTTATCGACGTACATAAATTACATGATTAATACATTCAATATTGAAAAGAATATAGTATAAACGTTGTATATAAGTAGTTATATATAAATAGTTTTCGCCTAGTTAAGCCTAACTAGACTTAACTAGTAAACATGTTTTTCCCATGCTGTTTCAAAGTTCGGAACAAAAACTGACTGATTACAGGTATAGATTATAATAAAATCTTGTTCTATAGCTAATCCATATCTGTGGAATTCACGTCATGTGGACTATGTTACGCGAGCAAATGTTGTGTAGTTTGCGGCTGCTTCTTGCCTGCATAGCTTACCTAGCAAAAATGGCTCATAGCCTCATGGGATAAAAGGCAGGGCTGTAAGGAACCAAGTCTGAGCTTTATTTTTATTTTACTTTTATTTTGCTTTCATTATATTTTGTTTGGGGCTTATGTTTAGTTAAGACGAAGGTTTCCTCACCATTCACCTTTAGTAACTTAAAAATAGAAGAAAAACCAACTCACCGACGAAAGAAAAGCGCCGTAGAAAACTCGCGCACACTTGCGCTTCCCAAGCGGAAAAAAGTAAGTCCGCACCGAGAAAAAGGGGGGG